AGATTTTTCGAAAGTTGAAGTGTTATGAGTAAATCATATAATAAGCATAACCAACTTTATAGTTTCCGAGTAAGATGCCATCATATTAAGAGAGCATGTGAAGATCAGACTCCTGCATTTCGAGATAGTAACATCTTTCAGGTTTTTCTTAGCCTAATATTGATCGAGAAACAAACGAGACATGCAAAAGACAAAACTTCACAGCAAAGGAAAATCAAAAAATACAACAAATAGGGAAAAAAAAATGTAAACTTACATTTGAATATTTCTGTATGGCCTTCTTGTACTTGCCCTGACTGTGAACTGCATTCCCCTGCAATCATATAAATGGTTAGTTAAATAGTTCCCTAGTATCGAAAATATGTACTACCATGTTCGTAACAAAATTTGGGGATCTATACATGTAAACGAAAGTAGTTCCATGCCACCTTGCTTCTAACCAAAATGTGGAGAGATGCCATAATCTAGGGGTTCCCCCATGGTCCTTTCTTAGGTTCAACATTTCTCCAACGCCATTAGTATAAACCACCCAACAGCAGACGTTGATAAATAGACAAAGAAGCCAGAGGATATTAAGGTTCATGGTTTATACATGCCTTCATACAGGAGGTAGGGAACGGCCAAAATGATTAAATAATTCAAATTATATTCAGAAACGTAAAAAGTCTATTCAGCAATTAAAATTGTAGTCCTAGCTTAGAGAGTCATCTTACCGAGTGACTCTTTCTTGAAGGGGTCATATTAAGCAACAACCCCCTTACTACAGCTCCAAAATAGAAGTCAGGTGAGAAATAATGAACAAAGATCTTTTTATTGGGAAAACTTCGTCAAATATCAGTTGATAATTAGAGTCCAGAGTACTTGGTACGAGTAAAGGGTAGTGGTATAACAAGAAATGATGCATGTCAAGTAATAAGATGAATCACTAACTAAAACAGCAAAACAATAGAAATCTAGAGCAGGCTGGCTGCTTTCTAAAGCACTCACCTTTTTTGTCTTTTAGCCACCAAACCCTTATTTTGTAGCCAGTCAAGTCCTTGCCAGGATCTTTGACACCAGTAACCAATTGGGGTTGTTGTGTGCGCTCATACTTGGCCAATTCACCTGGGCCATTATGGTCCATTCAGGGCGAACCACGTGGCATTCCAGCTGAGGTGGCATAGATTGCCGAGGTGGGCAATGCCGAAGCCCTTCAAGCCGAAGTCCACTAGCCGAGGCTACCTTTTTACCGAGGCCTGTAAACGTACCTGAGGTCCACATAACGAAGCCCATGACCCGAAGCCATGATACTGAAGCTAGTTGAAGATAGCTGAAGCCCTCAAGCGGAAGTATCGTGTGAAATGGCCGAAGCCCCGAAGCAGATGCAGGAGCCTCCGAATCACAAAGGAGTGTCCTCCATGTTCAATTCTCCCAAGAGATCGTCTGCATAAAGATCTTATTCGAATGATTGATGGAACGTTTGTCATAAGAATAAAGGTCAAGTCTTGTCACTAGTATGGAGGCCCTGCACAAAGCAATAAATGCGCAGCAAGCTAGCAAGTCAAGCTCCATGCCTAGGATGTGATGTTTGAATTAAAGAGATGAGGCCACGTGCCACCTCATCCAAGGGCTCCCATTTCACATGTATTACTATAAATACTTCCCTTGTGTAACATCAAAAGGCTAATGCAAGAATCAATACAAAGAACTATACTTTACTCAACTCTCTCTCATTTACTTGCAATTAACAAATCGAGTTTATACATATTTACATATATATTTACGAACACCGGTTGATAATTATTGTACAATCGGATCACGAACAACTCGTCGAATTCCGAACGTCACTGTCCCGCGTCGTTGGGCTACTCCCACGCCCTTAGAACTGCTCATTTTAGACTGTCTACGTGTCTTAGTGTGTTGGACATTCGCCCACGTGTGCGCGGTGGGACCAACATCTGTTGGCAATACTTTTTGGGGTCAATAGATTGGCGCCGTCTGTGGGAAACCATACCATAACCACGAGCAACCCTGTGGTAAAAGCTTACTAAAAGGACATTTGGGCAACCCCCCTTGAAAAATGATTTGTTCTTGGAAGAGAACAGGAGGAAGCCCCGTTACCTGGAGAAATCTGAAATCGGACAAAGGAAAATGAGCTCTAATAAAGATACCCCCAGGAGAGTAAGAGAAAACACGAATGTGCATCCCCAGCCAGCTGTCCCAGCAGCTCGGCAAAGACTCCACCACCACCAAAGAAGAGGTGGGATGCATGCGACGGCACGATTATCAAGAGAAATGGCCGTCATGGCGGCTAACATGAGGGATATCGCTAGCCAAAATTTGGCTATGAGGGAGCTTATGGCCCAAATGCAGGGCCAGTGAGGCTTCCCCTTTCCTCCATATGTCCCCCAAGGGCACTACCAGCAAGAGGATGAAGTACAAAGTCATAGAACTGCTACACCAGACTATGGCCGAGGTGAGAGCCCCTTTGAAAGAGAAGTGGAAGTTGATGTTTCCTCCAACTATGCTTCTGGCCGACCCTCCGAGGTCCAAATGAGCCATGATAATTTCCCACCTCCGTATGAGCAAGACCCAAGACATAGGAGGGCAGGAAGTGTTTTTGACAGAATCAGCCCTGTCGAACCGAGGCAAAGGCAACAGCAGGCTCAACAACCTTGGACAAGGCCGCCTCCTCTACCTACATTGCCTCAACAGGCGGAAAGAAGGCAAGAAAATGTCCCTCGAGTTGCTCCGCCTAGAAATAGGCAGCAGAGGAGAGACGAAGAGGCTAGGGATCTTCCCGGGACCTCTCACCAACAACCGGGGCACGAGACCGATGAGTACGACTCTGACGAACAGCAGAGGTCCTGCGAATTGGACGACGACGATGAGAACCTACCATTCTCAAGGGAACTAAGGAATGCCCAGGTCCCGAGCCACTATGCTATGCCAAAATTACCAAAGTATGACGGAAGAGGCGACCCGGAAAAGCATCTGAATGCTTATAAAACCCACATGAGCCTAAAGGGCGCGACCCCAGCCGTGAAGTGCAGAGCCTTCCATTTAACACTTAGTGGAGCGGCTGAAATTTGGTACAGCAGATTGCCACCTGGGAGCATTAGAAGCTAGCCTGAGTTCAAGACAACATTCTTGAAGAGGTTCGCGGTAAGCAAAGAAGGAGAAGCCCCCATCCAACGTCTCCATGACATGAGGCAAGTACATGGGGAGTCCCTAAAGAGCTTCTTATCACGCTTTACCGACGAGATGACATATTGCGTACAAGTTAGCGACCGAGAGGCACTATCCGCGCTAAGGGGAGGTTTGAACATGAATACCTTATTCTGGAGAGATGTGCAGAATCAAGACCCCACCACCTATGACGCCCTACTCGAAATGATGAGAAGGGAGATCATCAATGAAGAATTGATTGAGCATAGGAACAGGGCAAATAGAGGCCTCCCGCCTCCTCAAAGATAGTGCGGTAGAGGCCCGACCTCCCACCTGATGGGCTACCAGATGAACCAGGCTGGAAATGAGAACTCTGGTCAAGCACTTGCCACCACCACTTTGAATGCGGTTCCCACCTTGGCATATGAAGATGTCAATCCAATAACTGACCCCCATCAGATGGGGGGTCAGGAGATGCCCCGTCGAGGGAGAGGCCGAGGTCGAGGCTCTGGACCTAGAAATAGGTCAAACCCGAACCTCCCATGACACTGTGTACACCACAGGTCCTACAGACATAACACAGCGGATTGTAGAGATTATGCACAACATTCCCGGTAGGAACCCATTTGAGACAGACATGATTCGTCCCAGGTGAACAGGCCCCCGCCTAGGCACGACAACCAGCGTGGGTGTGAGGAGGCCGCTCCCCGTCAAAGGGATGTATCCCCACGGCGAAGGGAGCATGATCCAGAGAGGCCCAGGGAAGGGCATAGACACCAAAGAAACCGGCAAGCTAGAGATGAAGCCCCTATCCACGAGGTGGACACCATATTTGGAGGCCCGTATGTTGGCGACGAAACGCGAAACGCCAAAAGGAACTACGCCCGGGAGGCTAAACGCCCCCCTTTGACAAGCTACATCGTGGGTAGCAGCTCCCGAAGAAATCAGGTCCCACCCATTGTATTTTCCCAGGAAGACGAAGAGGGAGTTCATTACCCCCACTGCGATGCACTTGTGGTGAGGGCTATCATAGCCAAGAATGGGCTCAAACGAATGTTGGTTGACAACGGCAGCTCCGTCAACATTCTATTCGGATCCGCCTTTGATAAAATGATATTGGATCATCAGCTGACGCCCACCATCACTCCATTGTACGGATTTACTGGAGATAGCATCACTCCAAGAGGAAAGATAACACTAGCAGTAGAGATGGGGGAATCCCCACGTACAACGACGAACTTCATGGAGTTCCTCATTGTTGACAGCAGGTCGGCCTACCATGGGATGTTTGGCAGACCAGCCCTGAAGGAACTGGGAGCAGTCACCTCCATCCACCACCTGTGCATGAAATTTCCAACTGAAAATGGGGTGACAATGGTGAGAGGCGACCAAAGAGGCTCGAGAGAATGCTATCTAAGCCCCATCAAGAAGGCAGAGCCTCGGGACATCCATGTAGTCATAGCTGACGTGGTCATGGCTGACGTCCTAGGTGATGCTCCCATCGAACAAGAAGATGTTGATATGATCGATGCACCACCTAATGCAGAGGCACTGGTCATCGATGAAATTGACCCCCACATCATGGAACACGAGCCTTAGGCATCTCCAGTAGAGGAACTTGAGAGCTTCTCAGTAGACCCCCGAGACCCATCAAAGGTACTGAAGGTAGGCAAATGCCTAGCCAACATTCTGAAGGAAAAGATTAAGGATTTCCTGAGCAAGAATCTTGATGTCTTTGCCTGGAAGCATGAGGACAGCCCAAGGTCAGCTGCCACCACCTAAAAATTGATCCTAAGGTTGCCCCGAATAGACAAAAAAGGAGAGCCCTCAACCCTGAAAGGTATGAGGCCCTAAAGGAAGAAGTTCAGAAGCTCATCCAAAACGGCTTCATCCGAGAGGCAACCTACCCTAGATGGGTCTCCAACCCGGTTTTGGTAAGGAAAAACAACGGCAAATGGAAGGTGTGCATTGACTTCACCAACCTCAATAGAGCTTGTCCGAAAGATAGTTTTCCACTCCCAAGGATTGACCAACTAGTGGATTCCACTGCTGGGCACGAGTTGTTGAGCTTCATGGACGCGTACTCCGGCTGCAACCAAATCCCCATGCACCCGACCGATGAAGAGCACACCTCTTTCATTACGGACCGAGGCCTCTATTGTTATAGAATGATGCCCTTCGGGTTGAAAAACGTCAGAGCAACCTACCAAAGACTCGTAAACCAGATGTTTGTAGACCTCATTGGCAAAACAATGGAGGTCTACGTGGACGACATGCTAGTAAAAAGTTTGGAGGCCGAAGACCACATAAAGCACCTTAACAGCACTTTCCAGATCCTAAGAAGATATAGGATGAGGCTCAACCCCCACAAGTGCGCCTTCGGGGTAGCCTCCGGCAAGTTCTTGGGGTACATGGTCAACCAACGGGGAATTGAGGCCAATCCCGAGAAGATTGAAGCTTTGTGCAAGATGAGGTCCCCCCAAAAGCCGAAGGAGGTGCAAAGTCTTACCGGGCGAGTGGCTGCACTTAGCCGCTTTGTGTCCAAAGCTACGGACAAATGCCTCCCCTTTTTCAAAGTAATGAAGGCTGGGAAGAAATTCCAGTGGACTGAGGAATGTGAAGAGGCTTTCCAATGCTTGAAAAGACACTTGGGGCAGGCCCCCCTCCTTTCCAAACCTAAGCCCGGTGATATCCTACAACTATATTTGGCCATCTCCAATGAGGCCATCAACTCGGTTCTGATACGGGAAGAAGGGTCTACCCAACTCCCCGTGTACTACACAAGTAAATCGCTCCTATCGTCGAAAACCCGTTACCCCGATATGGAGAAGCTTGCTTTGGCTTTGATCACGGCCTCTAGGAAATTGAGACCCTACTTCCAAGCTCACACCGTCTATGTACTGACAAATTTTCCCCTGAGGCAGGTACTCCAAAAGCCTGACGCCTCAGGAAGGTTATTGAAATGGGCGGTAGAACTCAGTGAATTTGACCTTGTATTCAAGGCTAGGGCAGCCATAAAAGGGCAAGCCTTAACTGACTTTGTGGCTGAATTCGCCAACCTACCCAAGGTGGACGAAATCATGGAACCTATCGAACCCCCCATGTGGAATCTTTTCGTTGATGGGTCAGCTGGGGAAGTTGGCTCCGGTGCTGGGGTTGTTCTCATCAGCCCCGAAGGTCACAAACTTACCTCGGCGGTGAGGTTCGGATTCAAAGCTACCAATAACGCAGCAGAGTATAAGGCACTTCTTGCAGGCCTCAGGCTAGCCACCGAAATGTAAGTAAAGAGGCTGCTCATCAGTAGTGACTCCCAACTGGTTGTTAGCCAAGTCAATGGTAACTTCTCAGCCAAAGATAAAACGATGGCCTCCTACCTGAAAATGGTGATGAATCTCATCCCATCCTTCGAAAAGTTTGAGTTGATCCAGATCCCTCACATCGAAAATGCACATGCTGATGCACTATCAAAGCTAGCTAGCAGCAAGGACTCAGAGTTACTCACAGTAGTACCTATTGAGCACCTCCTCCTACCTTCGATCGAGGCCCCAACAGTAATGTGGGTCACTGGGACTCCCATTTGGATGCAACCAATCGTAGCATACCTCAAAGACCAGGCACTGCCAACTGACAAGAATGAGGCTTACAAGCTAAGAAGGAGGTCAGCCCACTTCCTTTTCATTGATGACATTCTCTATAAGAGAAGCTTCTCCTTTCCACTCCTACGGTGCGTCGGAGGAGAAGAGACTACCTACATATTGAGAGAAGTCCAAGAGGGCATATGCGATAACCACTCCGGAGTGCTGTCTTTGGCACAGAAAATATTGAGGCAGGGGTACTACTAGCCCACTCTAAAGCGGGACGCCCTTGAGTTTGTACGAAAATGCAATAAATGCCAGCGCTTCTCTCTGGTGCAGCGACAACCATCGCAGGAGCTGACCACCGTCTCTACCCCCTGGCCTTTCTCAAAATGGAGTGTGGACCTCATAGGTCCCCTACCTAAGGGCAGAGGAGGGGCAAGTTTTACAATTGTGGCTATTGATTACTTCACGAAGTGGGTCGAAGTCGAACCACTGGAAAAAATCACTGAAGCCAACACCTCCAAGTTCTTATGGAAAAATATTATTTGCCGATTCGGGATTCCCCACTCAATTGTCTCAGACAATGGCAGACAATTTGACAACAAGAAAGTTAGAGAATTATGCGAAGAGCTCGGCATAAAGAAGCACTTCTCCATACCTCACCACCCACAAGCAAACGGCCAAGTCGAGGCCGTGAACAAGACGATTAAGCACATCTTGAAAAGAAAGCTGGATGTATCAAAAGGGGCCTAGGTTGATAAGCTACCCCAAGTCCTTTGGGCGATCCGAACCACTACTAGGACCCTAACAGGAGAAACACCCTTCCTCATGGCATTCGAAACTGAGGCTATGAGCCCCGTGGAAGTCGAACTTCCATCCCCAAGACGTCTGCACTTCAGCGAGATAACTAACGACGAATTCTGGAGGCTCGACCTCGACTTCATCAAAGAAAGAAGAGATGACTCCCAAGTGAAGCTCGGCACATATCAGAGAAAGATGACAAGGTATTTCAACTCGAAAGTCAAGAAGAGGTCATTCCGAATCAACGACCTTGTACTTAGGAGGGTCTTCGTTTCCTTAAAAGAACCTGGTTCCGGTTCCCTTGGCCCAAACTGGGAAGGTCCATACAAAATCAGAGAAGAAGTCCGACCTGGGACTTACTGGATTGAAGACATGAATGGCAAGGCACAACTCCGACCATGGAACATTGAACACCTCAGAATCTACTACCAATAAATGTACTATCTTGCTGGACGACCTTTCCCAGCCCTTGTAACATTTCTATGGTTCTATAAAATTTAGTGATTAAATTAACGTGTTGAACTACCTCGTCACCTCAGAGGAGAGGCTCGCGTCCCACCTCTAAGCCACCTCGCTGGAATTTCGAGGCTCTAACACATGCCTCCCTTTGGCCAAAATAAACAAAACGCCAAGGAGAGAAGCCTAAACATGGCTGCACCACCCACCGTGGTCGGGATGCGTCATCACCTCGGAGGAGAGGCTCGCGCCCCACCTGTGGGCCACCTCGATTGAACTCTGAGGCTATAGCACGTGCCTTCCTTTGGCTGGACTAAATGCCAAGGGGAGAAGCTACCTCATGTGTCCGAGGTTCATTCACTTAAGTCCGAGGCTCAAACAGTTGTTTAAAGTTCATTTGCTTAGTAAAGTTCATTTGCTTATGTCCGAAGTTCATTTGCTTAAGTCCGAGGCTCAAAAAGTTCATTCGCTTATGTCCGAAGTTCATTTGCTTAAGTCCGAGGCTCAAAAAGTTATTTTGCTTATGTCCGAGGTTCATTCACTTTAGTCCAAGGCTCAAACAGTTGTTTAAAGTTCATTTGCTTAAGTAAAGTTCATTCGCTTATGTCCGAAGTTCATTTGCTTAAGTCCGAGGCTCAAACAGTTCATTTGCTCAAGTAAAGTAATTTTGCTTAAGTCCGAGGCGCGTACACTTGATAAAGAAACAACAATGAATGAAACAGGCATTTTTATTGATCTTCAATAAGGATTACAAAAATGGGCCTCAGGCCATTACATTCAAAAAACTGAAAAGAAAACTAATCTAAGCTTGGGTAGATGGGGGAGGTGCTTCAGTACTTGGGGCTTTGGCAGGTTGAGCATCAGCATTTGTCTCCCCTACCTCAGCTGCTTCATTACCCTACACCTCCTCAGTAGGGGTCTGAGGTACCTCATCCACGAATTCAGAACTGAGTTGAGTCAGATCCAAATTGGGATATATTTCCTCTACCCGCTCCATCACCTCAGCATAGGCAAAGTTTCTCCAGTAAGCACTGAAGCTCTTATACTCCTCTGTGTTATGGAAGTTGGCGACGTACTCCTGCACCGCCTCTTCCCTCGCCCGTTGAGCCTCCTCTTTGGCATGGGATGCATCATCCACATACCACTTGATTTGGGTTTCCAAGAAATGATAAGCTTCCTGGGCACCCACCAAAGAGAGATTGGCCTTCTCCAGGGCCTTAGCAGTCACTTTCTGGTGCTCATTAGAGACCTCCACCTTCTTTGTTAGGGAGGCCACCTTGCACTGTGACTCATGAACTTCCTTCTTCAAAGCCTCAATCTAGGCCAAGACAGACTCAAGCTTGGCCATTTCTTCAAGTTTTTGGGCCCTGGCTTCCTCTGCCTCGGCCCTAGCCCCCTTAACCTCCTCTGCAAGGGAGGCCGTCTTCTCCTCTGAAGATTTGGTCCTTGATTGAAAATCACTTAGGGCCTCCCTGCATTCAAGAGCGAGGCCAAAAGTTCTGACGCTTTGGCTCACCAACGCCCTCGTCAGGTCGGATGCATCGCAGGAGGAGGCATGCAGCTGCCACCTGTCAGTCCAGAACCGATAAAAGTTCTCAGTGGTGCTTCGAACCTCCTCTGGAAAAGCTTCCACCAAGGCTGGGGCCAAGGTCTCCTCCCTTCCAGCTAGGAAGCTTGGAGACTTCCCCTTTTCCTGAGCAGGCTTTTGTTTAGCTGCCTCCTCCTCAGCAGCCTCAGCAACTCTCCTCGCTGCCTCCTCCCTAGCCTCCTCAGCCTCAGCCTCCCTGACCATTTCTATCTTGATGGCTTTGGAGGCAGATGCGAGCAGCTTCGGCTCGCCTATGGATTTGACCTCATGAGACACTGATGTCCCAAATTTCCCAGACGAGCTGGTAACGTGCACCAGCTTCCTCCTCTTCACCTCCTCTGGGACCTTCTCTTTGCCCCGAGACTCTTTTGGCCTCTCCTGCCTTTGGGAAGCTCCCTCTTCAGGAGCCTTTGAAGTACTGTCCTTGGAAAGATGTTCCACCTTGCCTCGGACCTCCTTGGCCCCACTAGACCCCGGCTTCAAGGCCCTAGCCTTGGCAGTGGTGGTGGCCTTCAGAATCGTGGTCATATCTGGAGCTGGGTACTCCTTCCTCTTGAATTTATCTGCAAAATAATGTCAGGTTAGCACATCAGTATCTAATCAAAAGGACAAGGAAATTTACAACTGTGGGAGTCTCGTACCTCTGGATGCCATCAATCCAAAATCCAGGAAATAGCGACTCCTGTCAATTAGATGGTCAAAATGTCGGAGCTTCAGAGGCCTCTTGTAGATGTCTTCTATCACCTTGAACTCCTCCCTGCTGAGCTCGAACCTCGTACTATAATCTGCAATGAAAGCCCCAACAGTTAGAAATTTTCTAAGTGTTCAATTCAGAAGTACAAGCAGGGGCTGGGAGACTCACGAGCTTCGTAGTACTGGGTCGGCACTGTGCAAGAAAGGGCCATGTTCCCCTCCACTGCCTGTCATTTTCCCCGCACCCAGAACCAGGACTCCTTCCACCCCTTAATGGAGGAAGGCAGCCCCACCACAAAGGGTACGTGAGCCCCCCAAGGTGTAATATAATACCACCCCCTGGACTCCTTCCCTATGATCCGGGGCTGGAGCAGAGTCATGAAGACATGGAGAGGCATGTCCTCCCCAAGTGACACCTCCTTCCGCAGGAAGTATGAGCCGACCAACTGGCTCCACCCATTTGGCAGAACCTAGGTCGGCGACAACATAAAATTCCTCAGCACCGCCCTAAAGAAGGGGTGCAGAGGAAGACGCATACCTGCCTTAAACAGGTATTCACTGACAGCCACGCATCCGGACCTCAGATAGCAGGCTCGCTCATTTGGTTCGAGAACTAGCATCTCTATGGAGTGGGGGACACTATATCTCTCCCTGATCTCCCCTAACCTCTTCCACGTCATACTTGAGGGCACCTTAGATGCCCCCCACTCCTCAGAATAGTCTACTGGGTCTTTGGTCATGGCATGACTATCAGCCTCGGCATTCCCCCTCTGATTGACCCCATAATCTAACGATGCCACCGTCACCAACTCCCTACCCAAGGTGGACTCCATCTCACAGAATTAAGAACAAAAATAAGGTTTTCCTGTGAATGATACCTAAGGGAAGAACACTACGAACAGAGATAGGCCGAAAAATCAAAAAACGGGCTGCCTTGACGCCAAAAAGTTCAGAAATTTGAGAGAGAATCTAATTGCATAGTTTCAAAAGTCCTAAAAAATGGGATTTTCTCACCTTTTGTAGAGGTCCAGGACGAACCCTAGCCGTCAGATCGAACCTCAGTCAATCTGAGCCCTTCGTTGTAGATCAAGTTCGAGGCGTTGAATTCAAACGATTTTTCAAACCTACGCCTCAGATTCAAGCGTGCCTGCCACGCGCCCCATCCAACGTGTCTGCTTCTAGAAGCTCCAGCTGCCATCATAATTGTATTTTTAATTTGATGGCAGCAGGCATCTTGGAAGTCGTAACGATTTAGCCACTTTTCCTCGAAAACAAGCACAAAACATCAAATCATTGGCACAGCTATCAAGGCACAATCATTACCATTGAACCTCGGCTTCGTCTTCAACATTTAGCCATCAAGCCTCGCAAGTTCGGTTTCCAACCACCTCGGCTTCATCTTCTACATTCAGCCATCAAGCCTCGTAGGTTCGGTTCCAAACACCTCGGCTTCGTCTTCAACTTTCAGCCATCTAGCCTCGCAGGTTCGGTCTCCAACCACCTCGGCTTCTTCTTCAACATTCAGCCATCAAGCCTCGTAGGTTCGGTCTCCAACCACCTCGGCTTCTTCTTCAACATTCATCCATCAAGCCTCGCAGGTTCAGTTTTCCAACCACCTCGGCTTCTTCTTCAATATCAACATAGCTTCAGTCTCTTCATCATTCACCCACGGCAACACATTTCTAATTCCAACTCTGATATAAATATCTACACTTGGACTTCAGGGACTATTATTTGGGGTTAAAAAATTCTTTCAATTTTTACTTCATTAAAGTTCACGCATTACATGAATGACCATACTTGGACTTGGGGGACTATTGTTGTGTGTGGTCATTCTTGGCCAATTCACCTGGGCCATTATGGCCCACTCAGGGCGAACCACATGGTATTCCAGTCGAGGTGGCATAGATTGCCGAGGTGGGCAATGCCGAAGCCCTTCAAGTCGAAGTCTACTAGTTGAGGCTACCTTTTTACCGAGGCCTGTAAACGTACCTGAGGTCCACACGCCGAAGCTCATGACCTGAAGCCATGATGCTGAAGCTAGTTGAAGATAGCTGAAGCCCTCAAGCGAAAGTATCGTGTGAAATGGCCGAAGCCCCGAAGCAGATGCAAGAGCCTCTGAACCACAAAGGAGTGTCCTCCATGTTCACTTCTCTCAAGAGATCGTCTGCATAAAGATCTTATTCGAATGATTGATGAAACGTTTGTCATAAGC